CTCTCTCTCCTGCCTCTTCCTTCCTCCTGATCTGCTCCTCCTCTCTGCCTCTTCCAGCTCCTCCTCCTGCAGCTCCTCCACCTCCTCCTGCAGCTCCTCCTCCTCCTCCTCCTCCTCCTGCAGCTCCTCCGCCTCCACCTCCGTCTCCGCCTCCGCCTCCGCCTCCGCCTCCGCCTCCGCCTCCGCCTCCGCCTCCTCCTCCTCCTCAACCTGCATGAAGATGGTGATATTGTCCAGGCCGACGTGCGTCTTACTGCCCCACACGCGGAGGACGCCGCCTTGCAGGACAGGAAGAGGAAACTTGAGCTGCGAGACATGTCAGATTGTGCGTAAGAGGAAGAAGCAGAAGAAGCAACAGCAGAAGCAGAGCACGAGAAGGAGACGGAGGGTTGAGAGAGCAGGAGCAGGAGCAGGAGCAGGAGCAGGAGCAGGACGAGGAGCAGGAGCAGGACGAGGAGCAGGAGCAGGAGCAGGAGCAGGACGAGGAGCAGGAGCAGGACGAGGAGGAGGAGGGGGAGCAGGAGGAGGAGGAGAAGCTACATCCAGGGACTTGAGCGAGCTTCCGGGAATGGCCGTCGACATCTTGCCGATTTCTTCCTGCTCGCAGAGATAAGAAAAAGATGGAACACATGGAGAGGGGAGGAGGAGGTAGAAGCATTAGGAACCAAGCAGAAGGAGGAGGAGGGCAAGAAAGAGGACAAGGACAAGGGAGGACAAGGAGGACGAGCAGGAGCAAGGAGCAAGGAGCAAGGAGCAAGGAGCAAAGAGCAAAGAGCAGAAAACAGGAGCAGGAGCACAGGAAGCAGGCGCAGGAGCAGGAGCAAGGGTGCGAGATCATTACCGGAAGGACATTCCTGGCGGCACAGGAGGAAGCCGGGCAATCAGTTTGTTTGCTAGTGAAGAACCAGATGTTGCTATGAAGAGAATTGATCTAGAAGAAGCAATGAAGTGAGAATTCTTGTTCAGGTTCTCCTTATCATCATCATCTCCATCATCATCATCATCATCATCATCATCATCATCATCATCATCATCATCATCATCATCATCATCATCATCATCATCATCATCATCATCATCATCATCATCATCATCAT